ATTGTCCAACTCTCTGATGTATAACAAGTGATTGCGAAGACCATGGCCTGTATCAGACGCACCTTAGTTTCCAGAGAGACACCATTGCTCTTCAGTACTTTGGAGAGGTCCTTAATAGTTCTTTTATTTTCTCTAATTCATCTGTCTGTTGGCTTTTTTTTTTAATGTAATAGTTCTTTTATTTACTCCTGAGTAATTTCTAATTACATATTCCATTGTGAATATACTGTTTTAGAATTGGGAAATTTCATGAAAACTCAATAACATTAGAATTTAATTTCATTTAAAAAAATAATTGCTTTTGTGATAATATAGTATATAAATCATCGTGAGAGGGACCTTTAAGATCTGGTTGTTAGGAAACACTTCCATGTGTTATAGCTGTATCTACCTACGTGGACTCTTACCCATTGATCCTTATTTCTCTCTGGAGCAGCTCAGTGTTGGTTCTGTCTACTTAAGTCTTCGTTTCTGTACACTCTGTGTATTAGTTGCTTCATAGCCTGATTCCTTGGTTCTGCCACTCGTGTTGTGAAGCATGGTTTCTGGACCTTTATTCTGAGTTTTGAGTTTGCAGTGGTTTACTTTTAAAGTTCTCAAAGAGGAATATTAAGGGATTAATTGATTTCTGTATAGTCTGACAGACAAAAAATACTTGGAGCCAGTGATGTAGATACTTGTGAAAGCCAAAACCTATACTAACTGTAGTAACAGTTAGTGCTTAGTACAGTGCCTAACATTTGTGAAATCCTTACTAAGGATATCCTTCGAACTGAACCCTTAGTCTAGACATAAATGTAGTATTAACAATGTGAGCTAAAATCTTCCTCACCAGAGATTGCATTCATGTATGTAGTGACACTGGCTTTTTTAAAATTTGTTTTAATTTCACGTATATAAGTTATTTATTTGTTCTGTCCCATACTTCTGCACTTACAGTTCTTTTGAGCCAAAAAAAGATTTCTGTTTACACTAGTTAGGTAACTTGGATCCTTTGTCCCAGTATGCCTGGAAATACTGAACAAAAGAGAGTCTTTTGATATATGTGCAGGTTATTAAGTAGGTTTAGATACAGAAATTTCACAGCAAACAAATAATAATAATAATTATAAGTACTATTAACTGTAGGAAAAATGACAAAATACAAAAACTTGAATAATTTATGGCTTAAGAAAGAGACATAGAGATTTTGTATCTCTTTAAGTAGAACGTAAATATTCGTGGGCTTTCTTTGGTTGTAAGAATGAGACATAGGTAACTATGGTCCGATGGTAATTTTACCTTATTGATGCAATTTGTTAGGTTTTGGCAACTTTATACATTTGACAACTAAATATCACTAATTATTTAAATGAGACAGTGTTGGTAACTCCAGATTGCTTTAACAGGATGACAGGGCCTGGAAGAAATGAATCCTGACCTCTTCAAGTACTGCACTGAATCAGAAACAGTTGCCATAATAGGTTTCCAGGCTGTTAACCATTTAGAGGCAGGTCACCAGGTCTTTCTTCCATGAGGCCTCAGGGTGGATTCAAACTGCCAGCCTTTGGTTAGTAGTACAGTGCTTAAGGCAAATATCTGGTGGAGCTTGTTAGATCCTCTCCCTATGTATGGAAGACTAGGTTGGTAGTGGTCCAGAAAAGGACAGATACTCTCCAAGTCTTAAGAATAACTAAGCTGAATCTTGGATTTTCTCTTCTTTTAGATAATGTCAGAGCTGGGGGAATAGGTGAGGATGAAGGAGCTGGGATTGCTGCTTCAATCCTAAATTTTCAAAACCAAATTGATATGAACATCCCTTGAATTAATAAAAAAAACCCTGTGTAACCTCCAGGAGAAGAATGGAGATCCAAATATTTACTGGCAAAATTTACATTTCCTTAGTTTAGATACTGTTCTTTTCTTTCTATAAATGTGTGTTGTATCATAAAGACCATGAGTCCCTTTAACTTCCTTTTCTTAATGCCTGCTACTCGTTGCTGTGAGTCAGAACTGACTCATGGCCAATCCCCCCTCCCCCACAAACAGGTTTCCTAGGCTGTAAATCACACAGGAGGAGATTGCCCATTCCGCTCCTGTGGAACCACTGGTGGATTTGAACCTCCAGAGAGGCATGCTGTCTGGGTTAGCAGCATGACCTCCAGTGGGCTACATCACCAGAGCTCCCTACAGAGTAACTTAGGGGGTTTTCTAAAGCATAAGACTGGCGTTTGGGCTATAATACATACACAAATATTGGTGTACTCAAATGAGAGAGTCTATCCCAAATCAAAGGTGTTAGTAGAATTTCATGATTATAAGAAATTTTGTTTATAGATTTACAAGACAATTTTATTTCTCTTTAAATCTGTAAACCATATTTTCCTTTTTTCAGATACAAGCTGTAGATACAGAAACTCTTAGTTTGTATAACCATATTTCTTCCTAATTCTTTTATTTCTTAGAAAAATAGAGTTTAAAACTCAGATACTTGTTTTATTTATTAGTTACTTATTATCTATATTGTTCAAACAAACCATAGTGGAATTAGTCAATTTTAGAAGCTGTAAATGTATTATTTCCCAAAGGTACCAGTATAGTAGTAGGATATTTTAACTAAAATAAAAAAAGAAAAAGTGAACAATAGACTTCTTTTATAAATATACTTTTAAACAGTAAGTTTAGAATATCATATAAGTCTTTCTTAGGCTTGAATTGGGTTTTATAAGGTTATGTGTGCTGTAGAGTTTTGATGATATCACAGTTTAAACTTTGTAAGCTTGGCTTGGAAATTTTAGCAGTTGACTTGTACAGTCATACAGATAAATGATCATTTCTGCATGTTATTAACTTATGGTTAACTGTATCTAATAGGAACAAGACTTTGTGCAGAAGCAGCAACAAGAATTAGATGGCTCTTTGAAAAAGATCATCCAGCAACAGAAGGCAGAGTTAGCCAATATTGAAAGAGAGTGCTTAAATAACAAGCAGCAGCTCATGCGAGGTAATCAAATAGTGTGGCATAGATGCATATGTGAAATGATACCTCAGAGGTATTGAAAGAGATAACTCGGAAATTGAGTGTATGCTTTCCTTCGCTAGAGTGGTGGAAAGAAGGCTAAATAAAAGTGTGGTAAGAGAAAATGCTCAAAATATAGGACTATTTAATGCAAAAAGAAGTTGATATGATAGTAGACATAAGAATATAAAGATGTAATCCTTCTTCTTGTCCAGACAAAGCTAAAAATAGACCTGAATAATTTTGTGTACTCATTATGCCTTGTAATTGTTGGCATGCTTAATGGTTACAAGATATAATGGAATTTTAAGCATTTATTTTTCCTGAGAAATTAACTTGGATTCTTTCTTTCTCATTAAGATGACTGAATGGAATTATGGTAGTCAGATGGGGCATTTGCGGTTTTTGGGAAATTAGAACACAATGGAAAAGTAATAATAGATACCAATGCCTTTATGTTATTAGTGTATGTGGGACACTTCTGTCTAAGTATCGAAATAAAGACCAAAAATACCTTAGTAAAAAGAACAGTGACATTCTGAATATTGCTTTATCTTTTAGCTCGAGAAGCTGCAATTTGGGAACTTGAAGAAAGACACTTACAGGAAAAGCACCAGATGCTCAAGCAGCAACTTAAAGATCAGTATTTCATGCAAAGACATCAGCTGCTTAAACGGCATGAGAAGGTTAATGAAAAATTTGTTCGGCTTTTTGTTTAAAGATTGTGTAACAGCTTTGTCATTTGTATTTCGTAGAGGATGAATTCTAAAGTTCTTTTCTGCTTTTCTTTTATCCCAGTAACTCTCTGATAAGTTTGGGTAGTAAATTTTATCTTTATTATGATTGTAAACTTTTCTACAAATTGTAAGAATGATAGCTAATTACAATGTTTAAAGGCCTGCCCCTTTTCTCTTAAAGGTAGCTATTAATGGCACCATTTATGGTTCAAGTATCTTAAAACTGTGGACTCCAGGGAAGCTCTGGCGGCCTAGTGGTAAGGAGCTGCAACTACAATCCCAGAGGTGCATGGTTCAAATCCACCAGGTGCTCTGCCGGGGAAGGAGGGACAATCTCCTCTTGTACCAGTCAGATCTGATTTGACGGTACACTCACACAAAAATAATAATAAAAAAAAAATTAAAAACAACAACAACTGTGGATTCCATGTGTTTAGTAAAAGAAAGTTCTAGTATAGAACTCATCACTTGTTATAGGCCCTTGATAAGGAACCACTTGTAACTGACCCTCCAAAGGGCTTTTAGAGGCAATAAATTGGTAACTGACCCTCCAGGGGGCTTTTAGAGGCAATAAATTGGATAAGAGGAGATTACCTATCTCTCTGGAGGTGCATCCAGAAGATTTGAGCCATGTGGGTTGGCAGCACAACTCCTTAACCACTAGGCCACCAGTACTCTTACCTTATCATCAGTAACTTATTGTCCTTGTAAATTCTTTTTTTGTTTGTTATTTTTGGTGGTCATTGTGCAGCAAGAGAGGAGGTAATTCTGAGAAACAGACAAACAAATGTGTTTAAGTATTTATGTGTGTACTGAGTATTATATCACCGGTCCACATTTAAAACATGAGAAGGAAACAGAACAAATGCAGCGCTACAATCAGCGACTTATTGAAGAATTGAAAAACAGACAGACTCAAGAAAGAGCAAGACTGCCCAAGATTCAGCGCAGTGAAGCCAAGACTCGAATGGCCATGTTTAAGAAAAGTTTGAGAATTAACTCAACAGCCACACCCGATCAGGACCGTGAAAAAATTAAACAGGTAAATAAGTAAATTGCTCTCTTCACCTTTGTCGTTGTTGCATGCTGCTGAGTCACCTGTGCCTCTTCCTGACCCTTTGAACAGCGCACTGAAATCTCGCCCTGCCGCATCCGCATCCACAGTCTCTGCCATGCCCAAGCCCGTTGTTGCGGTCACTGAGCTCATCTGTCTCATTGAGGATCTTCCTCTTTTTCTGTGACCTGCATTTCTCAGCATGCTGTCCTTTTCCAAGGACCAGCATCTCCTGACAACATGCCAACTTTTGTTGTTGTTGTTAAGTGCTGTCGAGTCATAGGAGACTCATAGCGACCCTATGAACGAAAGTCCTGGACACCTCCTGTATAACTTTCATCCTTTCTCCAGATTCATAGGGTTTCCAGAGGCAAGCTACTATGGAAGTGGATGCCCCTCCTGCTTCCAAGCTTGTTTTAATCAGGAAGCTCCACCAAACACTGTCCACCATGGGTAAACATTAACACATTTGACACATTAGTGTCACAGTGTTCAGCTTCACAGCAGCCACGAGTTACCTCTGTACAGCAAGTGGGCAGACCAGGGCTATATGACCTAGAAGACTGTTTCACCAGAAACAATTAAAGGCAGGCCTGAGGGCCACAGAGTAGAGTCACCCACCTTTGGCTTGGAGGTAAGACTTTCTGTCCACTAGGCCAACTGCTTTCTCTCTATGCTGTTGTTGTTATTGTTGTTGTTGTTAAGTGCCATCGAGTCATAGGTGACTTATAGTGACCCTATGAGTGAAAGTCCTCGACACCTCCTGTATAACTTTCATTCTTTCTCTAGTTTCACAGGGTTTCCAGAGGCAAGCTATTATGGAAGTGGATTCCACTCCTGCTTCCAAGCTTGTTTTAATCGGGGAGCTCCACCAAACACTGTCCACCATGGGTAACTGTTACCGCATTTGACACATCAGTGTCACAGTGTTCAGCTTCACAGCAACCACGAGTTACCTCTGTAAAGCAAGTGGACAGAGCAGGGTTATTTTAAACGACTTTTCAGAAGTGCAGCATTAATATTTGATAGATAATTAGAGCCACCTTATGCTTATGGATGTTTGCCTCAGCTGCACAACCTGGGCTATATAGATGGCATGAGCAAGCTTAGTCTTCCCAAGATGGTGACCACAGAAGACACAAAGCCCTCTTTTGTTGCCTTAGCAGATTCCGAGTTAAAACAATCCCAAGGTCAACCCTGGGAATGAGGCATTTTGGAGAGATTTTGAAAGAAATACATGGTGTCACTATGATATTTCTGCAGTCACAGGCCCCGTATGCAAATAAACTGATGTTAGCGCACAGAGAGGAGGCACTAGGTTTTAAGCAGAAGTCCTGAAAGCCATGGAGACGTCACCCTTTAGTAACAGCATATTATTACTTGAAGCGTCAGTTTCTTGTCTTAAAGTGTCATTAAATTCTTTAATATCACGTTTGGAATATGCACAAATGACATGCTCATTAGCTGTTAAGTTCTCCTTTGTTTTTCTTATTTATAGTTTGCTGCTCAAGAAGAAAAGAGACAGAAAAATGAACGAATGGCTCAACATCAAAAACATGAAAATCAAATGCGGGATCTTCAGTTGCAGTGTGAAGCCAACGTCCGCGAGCTGCATCAGTTGCAGGTTAGGGCAGCATGCACATGGAGTTGGGGACGTGGGGTCATAGCTAACCAAAGTCAAGTGCACATCAATGCCAAAAGTGCTGTGGTGGAAGGCTGCATGCACTTCCTGTACAGCCCTGAGTGAAGATAGCTTAGTGCTAGAGACACTGTTTACATCCTATATAACCATGATTAATGAGAATATGCACCTAAATTATAGTCTTGAGAAATTTGGTCTTTTAAAAAGCAACATAGTGTGTTGTTTTGGACATATTTTGCAAAAATCCCCAAGTTATAAAAGTAGGCAATTTTGCTTTCACATACTGATTTTAAAATTTCTCTGCATTTAGAAAAATTTCTTTTAGGCTTCTGAAAAATGTAATGAACTTTTCAGAGGGATCTTTCAAGGTTACTTTAAGAGCAGGCCATTTTTAGATTCTGTCTGAAGTATATGGTCTCCCTAGTATCTAGTATATAATGTTTACAGTTTCAGAGTGGTGACATTGTGAACTGTGACAGCATGTGGGGACTCTTGCTTCATTTACTCACCAATTCTGTATTTTAGTACAAGTGGATAAAATGCATGCACATCTCCTAAAAGTGTCAGTTTTATGAGCAAACCTTCTTAAAAAGGGTAAACAGGCTTAAATGAATTCTTTCCCTTTCTGTGTAAGCTCTTTTTATATGGTAATAAATGTCACTTCTAAACTTGCAGAAATCAAGTTATGACTCATTTCATAGTTCTTGGCTTTAGATTTTTAGAGGGGAGCTTGAATTTCAATAATAGCTTGATGACTAACTTATTACTTTGGAAGATGATTGCATTTATGAAAAGTTTTGTTGATCTGAATTTTTTTAATCTAAACTTTGTTTTCAGAATGAAAAATGTCATCTGTTGGTTGAGCATGAGACTCAGAAACTAAAAGAATTAGATGAAGAACACAGCCAAGAATTAAAGGAGTGGAGAGAGAAATTGAGACCTAGGAAAAAGGTAATTTTTTTTTCAAAAGAAAAGATCTTTTTTTGGTTTGCATACAGTAATTCACATACAATTGTGTTTCATTAATGTACATCGTGTTTAATACAGTCATTTACATTGTGGTTCATACAATCATTTATATATTTGTATTTTATATAATTAATTACTATTGCTTTATGCCTCTTATTACCCCATCTTTTCAAGTCGCTATTGAATCTTTCAAGGCTCTGTTGAACTATTATTTCTCCCCCTCATCTGCCCACTAACCTCTGCTCTCCTAGTGTTTTCACCATTCCTCCCTTCCCCCTCTTCCCTTTCCTTTTGGGCATTTGTATGCAATCTTAGTCAGTTATCCTCTTTTTACAATAATGGTCTTACGAAATATTTGTCCTTGTAAGACTGTTATTTCACTCAGCACAGTGCTCTCTAGGCTCTCCCATGTTCTGTAGTATTTTATGAAATCATTGTTAACTTAGGAAAATGAACTTTGAGCATTTCCATTAAAATTGTATGCTTGTATCCACTCAGTCGTTGGCTCTTCACAGCATGTGTGAAGAAGGTACAAGAGGGTACAGGAAGGTATAGGAGATGAAGAGTTGAAAAGAAAGCCCTCAGAAGGGCAGAGTCTAATGACAAACAGAATTTTGTAGTGTCTTTGCTTTGAAGGAGGTGAGCAAGGAATACTGGGAAGGGAGCACAGTGTACAGGAAGAGGAGGAGAGCGTAAATTTGCCTGGAGGAGGCTTCAGAGAGGAAGTCTTTCTTAAGCTGAGTGAGGCTTGAGGATGAGTCAGAGCTTGCCGGGCAGAGCAACAGGTTGGGGTTGAGGAGCATTATGAGTAGAGGGAAAAGCATGAGTAAAACTGTATGTACAGACAGTCGGCAGTAGTTCATAGAGCTGTGTGTTCTTCTGTTACAAACGTTGCTGTTACTGTTATGCGCTGTCTAGTCCACCATGACTCATAGCGACCCTGTGTACAATAGCTCTGAACACTGCCCTGTCCTGGGCCAGTCCACTGTCCCTGACACACCTACCGTCATTACCCCAGTTATTGTGTCAGTCCATCTCAAGCATGATGTCCTTCTCCAAGGACTGGTCCCTCTTGGCCACATGTCCAAGGTATGTGAATTGGAGCCTCTAAATCCTAGCTTCCAAGGAGAAACTTGATTTCACCCTCTCTATGATAGACCTGTTAGTTCTCTTGGCAGTCTATGGTATGTTCAATACTCTTCTCCAGCACCACAACTCAAAGGCATCAATTCTTCTATTGTCATCTTTGGTCATTGTCCAGCACTTTGATGCATAACAAGTAATTGTATGGCCTGGATCAGGCATATCTTAGTCTGTAGACTGACATCATTGCTCTTTAGCACTCTGGAGGGGTCCCTGACAGCAGATTTTCCTATTGCAGTTTGTCTCTTTATTCCCTGACTGCTGGTGCCAAGAATGTTGATTTTGGAACAAAACAAGCTGAAATTAACAATCTCAGTCTCTTCTCCATTTATCATGATGCTGCCATTTGGTCCAGTGGTGAGAATCTTCATTTTCTTGATATTGAGCTTCAATCCATATTGAAGACTACAGTCCTTGATCCTCTGCAGCAAATGCTTCAGGCCCTCCTCAGTTTCAGTAAGCAAGACTGTGTAATTTGCATAACGCAGGTTGTTGATGAGTCTTCTTTCAATCTTGATGCCACTTTCCTCATAAAGTCTAACGTCCCAAATGATCTGTTCCGCATATAGATTGAAAAAGTCTGGACACAGGATGTGTCCTGATGCACTTCTTTTCTGGTTTGAGCCATGTGGTGTTTCTTGCTCTCTCCTGGTGACTACCTCCTGGTCCAAGTATAGGTTTCGCGTGAGCACAGTCATGTATTTAAGCACAGTCAAGTGTTTGGGGATTCCTGTTCTTCTCAAGGTTAGCCATGATTGTTGTGATCCACACACCTTTCATAGTCAGTGAAAGAGACAGTCCTCTGGTACTTTCTGCTCTCAGCCAAGATTAGGGAGTGAGAAAGTGATGACTGGTGAGCCTGCACAAGTGGATTGGAGCCAGATTATAAGGCCCTTTGTGCTAATTCAGTTTATGGTCCAGTAGAAGGGTCACCTCCCTTCCTCCCCTCATCCGTGTGTTTCTCCTGTTTGCACTTTGGTCTCTGCTCAACTTGTCCCTGCTGGTCAGCGGTTTTGACTGTCACCATATGATTTCCGTCCTTCATTAACCTTCGACCATAAACCCTTATTTCCTTTTGGATTTCCTCCCATTGCACAGTTCACATATTCCTTCTTTCAGTCATCTAATCACCAGTTGAGGAGAAAAATATTTAGGCCCTGTCAAGTACTAAGAGTTTTTAAAGGCAGTGTGACAAGTAAGGCAGTTGACGGTATAGCTTTTTAATTTAAATTTTCTTTAGTTTAAAAGTGTTTAGGTAGATAATATATTCATGTGTTTCAAATTTCAAAAAGTACAAAAGAACATAAAATGAAAATTTCCTCTCTCTATTTTTGCTTTCAACTCTTTGTGGCCTAGCTTTCACCTCAGACTTTCTCATTTTTATTAATTTTAATAAACATTGACAGAGATTTTGGATTTCCATTCATTCGTTGCTGCACTTTTCTCCCTGCCCACCCCTCCCAGCCAGTTCACTCCTTTCTTTGAAAAGAAAAAAAAAAAAAAGAAAATTCCTTCATTGGTATACAATTCTGTCCCCCACCACCCGCCCCTGCACTGAGTACACTTCTCTGTGCAACCTTAATTCTGGATTCCTGTGCTAACCGTAATACTCAATCATATATCACCTCTAATCTGTTCTTTTCCTCATCTGTTTCAATACGTTATACATAATTTATCCAGTTTTTTCTTAGTCTTACCCCAACCCTGATGCCAGTCCCATTCTACTGCAGTGGCACCATGCAGTATTTGTCCCTTTGTGACTGAGATATTTCACTCAGCATAATGTCCTCCAGGCTCACCCATTTTGAATAATATTGCATGAATTTTTTTTTTTTAAGATGGGCACAAGTGAGTGAATTGGTAATAATAAAATCTTATCATCTTCCTGTACAGACTCAAGTGAAGATCAATTTAGTATCAGAGGTACCATTGTTAAAAATCTTTGTTTCTTGAAATTCTCTTTTTGTCTTGCTTTTGTGACGTTTTACTATGTGCCATCGAGTCAGAACCAATTTATAGCTGACCCTCCAGCCAGTGGGTTTTCAGAGGTAGTAAATCACACAGGACAAGATTGCCCATCTTTCTTCCATGGAGCAGCTGGTGGGTTTGAACTGTGTGCCTTTGGGTTGGCAGCACAGGTTACCAGAATTCCTACCAGAGTTTTGTGTGTTTTTGTTTTTTGATACAACTCTGCTCTTTTTTAGTATTCTGTCTCACTTTCTCTCTGTCTTCTAGTCACTTGAAATACACACGTTTCCCAACTTTATCTTTGTTTTTTTAAAATTATTTTTATTTTATTATTTGTATGTGTGTGTGTACCGTCAAATCGGATCTGACTGGTACAAAAGGAAATTGCCCCTCTTTCTCCAGCAGAGCATCTGGTGGATTCGAATCACATACCTCTGGGATTGCAGTGCAGCTTCTTGCCACTAGGGCACTAGAGCTCCCTCCAACTTTATGTTCTTACTCTGTTCTCTGTTTTCTTCACCTTCAAGTTCTGGTTAGCTAGTTACAGCTCGAAAAATTGCTTATATAGAGGCCGTTCGAAAGCTTGTATAGAGCACAGGCTCCAGAGTCAGCCAGATCTGGGTTCAGATCTCACGTTGCCACTTCTGAATAATTTTGTAACTTAACGTTTCTAAGCCCAGTCTTCTTCTTTGTGAAGCAATGATCTTACTCCCAACCTAATTGAAGGTAGGAGTTAAATCTTGTACTTATTATCTCAGTACCTGAATCATAGTCTAGTTCCATGGAATTGTTATTGCAATTATAATTTATTGTTTTTACTATTATCATATCCCACTTTAAGCTCGCATTTTCCATCTGAATATTCTATTATCATTTTGTTTAGACCTCTCCAAATATCTCATGAAAGGTTCCCTTTTTTTTGATAACTGTCAGTGAAATCAGGGCATCCTGGAGACATGGAACATGATGTACTAGACTGCTGGCTGGTTCAGGTCTACTAGTTGCCTCATGGGAGAAAGCTGGACAGTCTCCTCCTGCGAAGATTCACAGCCTGACGGAGGCTCACCAGGATGGTGTCAGCTCTGAGGCAGTGGACTCGGCTTTTTCAGTGGCCCTGCCCGTCCCAAACACCGTCACCGTCCTTTTCTTTTCTCTTAATATTCATCCCCGTTAGGCATAGTTGTCATTGTGTGTCTACTCTCTGAGAATGTAAGCTCTGAACACAGGGACATTATCTTTGTTCACTAAGTACAGGCAGCTTCTGAAAGCGTTTCTAACACATGGTAAATGATTAATCCAAACTAGTTGACTGTGAACTGAAGAAGGAATACTCAGTGGAGTTAGCAAACTCCGCTTCCTTTTTCTTTCTGTCTTACTGTCCCTCATCTCCCCATTCCTGCCATCTGTGTCATTCCTTTTCTCTTAATTGACATCTAGTCTAGAAATCAGAATTAGTTTTTCTTTCTGCCACATCCCGTGTTCAGTCCAGTGCCAACTAATTTTGAGTCTCTTTTCTTAATATTTGCCATTCTGTTTCCCATTGCTGACTTCCAGCTACCTGCATCAGTTGTTCACGAGTATCCTGAAGGGCCTCCGGGCTGTAGTATCTTCACCTTTCATCCTTCCCCCTTGCCAAAGTCTTTATCCTCAGGGACCCAAGAATGTCATCAGAGTAGTGTTGCTAAATCTTCATTTCCAATAGAAAAAAATACATAGGACTTCGCTTGCCTTTGAAGCCTGCATGGCGCCCCCCTTTGTTGTGGTCAGTTCTTCTAGCTTGGTTGCTCGGTAGTCACTTTCCCTGTGCTTCAGCAGTGGATGGGGTCACCATTCTTCACTTCAGCCCACCGTTTCCTGCCTGGGCCTTGTTCTAGCTGTTTCTCCCTCTGGTAGGCCTTCTCCAGCCTACCGATCAAATTTTTATCTTTCAAGAATGAGATTGTTTTGCCTCTTCTGAGAAATCTTCCTGTACCTTCCGTCTCCCCCCATTCTTGTACAACCACACATATCCCTAAATCACTCATTCACAGATCCTTATCAAGCACTTGTGTTTGCTCTGTGCTGTGGGGATGTAGAGATGGATCTGGCTTTAGGTCTTAATGTCAAGCAACTTACTATCTAACACAGGGAAGACAAGACATACCTCTCAATAACCGGAATAAAGAGTGGTAAGTGCCCCGTGGACAGGTGCCCCTGAATGAGTGCCTGCTGGGGTGTAAGCACATCTTTCTCACAGACTCTTCATACAGCAGCCCGGGGAGGTAAATGGTATCATCACAGAGGAATGGAACGATTCTGTGATAGAGAAAAGTAGTTGACCCGCGCCGTGCATTGATAAAACAGCTCTGGTGCATCCTGCTGCGAGCCAGAACCCAAACTGGTAGCCAGCTTCTCTGAGGGAGAAAGATGTGGCAACTTGGCCTCTGTAAAGAGTACCTCCTGGGTTGTATGGCAGAAGGACCGTGCAAAGTCTGTGATCTTAACTGTTGAACAGTCTTATTTTAGTTAGAGAAATAGGAGAAGAAAGTATTTGGGGCAAGTAATATTTTCATGCTATCAGCATAAATTAATATATTACCATCATATGACTCATTGGTTTTTGGTTTTTTGGTTTTTTTTTCTCTTCCCCTTTCTTTTTAAGACTTTGGAAGAAGAGTTTGCCAGGAAACTGCAGGAACAAGAAGTCTTCTTTAAAATGACCGGGGAGTCGGAATGCCTTAACCCTTCAACGCAGAGCCGGATTTCGAAATTTTATCCTGTTCCCAGTTTGCATTCCACAGGGTCATAACAGTGGGAAGCATTCTGTGATTAGGGTTTGGCGTTTAAAAATGTATCATTCTGTTCTCTTCATCTTCTGCCACACCACAGTCTATGCCAGATAGCTCACGGAGACAATCACCTGCCTCACCTGCTAGGTGTTTTCCATTTGTTTGTTCATTTGTTTGTTTTAAAGCAAAGATGAAGGGGAAAGGAACTAAGACAGATGCTGGGCCATGTTGGCAAAGTGGCATCTTGCAGTAATTCCCTAAGGTGATTTTGTATATTAATCTAAACATTTTTGTTCTTTAGACCCTATTACTTGAGAAACTGTTATAGAAATAATGTTTAAAGTTATTAAGAGATATGGAAAACAGCTGTTACATCACTTAGTATCAATAAATATCTTTTTACCTGATCAACCGTCTCAGTGATGCCTACGTCTGTAGCTGAAATTTGGCTGTAGAGAGTTGGAATAATCTTTTAGTGAATCAGCTCTCAGGAGAAGGCTAGAAGTTGCTCAGAATTGGTTCAGAAAAGAAATGTGTTTTATCTCTAAACAGGAACAAACTTCTTTAAAGAGAACATTTATTTCATTAATGTTTCTCAAATCATTACCCATTTAGTCATGAGCTAATAAAGGTGCTAGTTTGTTAATATAGTGCCTAAAACATTAAATTTCAATCAAGGTTAAAGTAGAGTGTTCATTTCTGACTCAGTAAGGACACAGTATCCTTAGCATTAAGCATATCTTTTAAGAAATTGTGCTCTTACTACCATTTGATAGAAAACTCCCTCTTGCATTACATGTTGTATAGAGTTTGGAAATATAAGCGAGAGCAAAAAGAGACAGATGACTTCAGATGTTCAGATGGGAAATGGTAAGCGCAACCTATGAAAAGAGAATTCTGATATAGCCATCCTACTTAATACATGAGCTTTATTAAATGGATTCTCCCATCATAGCAACTTTTATTTGTTTAGCATTTGCCGACAGTCCTATAGGCTCTTGAGGACATGCTGAAATTAATCTTAAAAGTAGCATTTGTTGAGAATACTTGTAAAAGAAGTATTTCAATGAAATATTTAGACAAATGTCTATTTTGGTGGTTTTGAAATGAGGTCACTTACATTTTGGCTTTATTTTATTTCAAGTTTAAGTTACTTTGATTTGGGCAGGGAGAGGTCTAAAGGACCTTTACCCTACCCTGGGTTGCTGGCGTGTGTAATTAATGAAATGTTCGCTCTGAGGCTTGGAATTCCAGCCATGTGTCAGGTCAAGCAGTGTTAACACCCACTGTGCTTTGGTGTGTGGAACAGCCATTTGTAAACGACGCTCACTGCCTATCCTTTACCACCTGTTCTCTCACCAGAGTGCAAGGGACCAAAATGAAAAGATTTCAGTTTTTAGTTTTATTACATTTGAGGCTGGTGAAAAATTGAAATGTAACTTTGTAGGAATACTGACTGGTGTTAAAATTGTAAATGTCTCCAGCACTTTCTTGCAGTTAATTTAAAAACTTTAGATGCTGAAGCTTATTTTGTCAGTGGTTTGGATGATTTGAAAATGCATGTGTGGTTTTTATTTTGTAATTTGTTTTTGATAAGCATAATTTACTTGGACAACTTTGTAGCTAGCCTTAATTTCTGGCCAAGTTTGCTTTTTATATAAATATATACATATATATATTATATATATATAATGTTTGGTTGTAAATTCATACACTTATCACATGAATATGTTACTGTATAACAAAACTTTTAATGCTTTATTCTCCAATGTTGGGTTGAAACATGTTTTGAAAGCCTTTTAAAATATATATCTTTATAAAGTAATATTCAGGATGATCATGGAAATGGTTTATATTATTATGGTAAAAATGATATAATAATGTTTCCCGGGCAATCTCTTAGGGAGAGAGGAGGAAGGTTCTCATGTCATTTCTCTTTAGAAAATTTGCGTATTGGCTTTTTTTTTTAAAAAAAAATCAGTATTTTAGGGAATGGACTTTTTTTCAGGTCACATAAGTGATATCCTGTGTGCTAAACAGTTTATGGCAAATAATTAGGTTTGAATCAGTATTGATTTCTATTTTTTTTCAAATTGACATTCAGAATCTTGATTAAGGTGGGAAGACTCAGAGTAGAATGGATGACGCCATGAGCACATGTTGCCCTTAGACCTGCCCTTTGGGTCCAGCATTCACGCACAAGTTTACTTTCCAGCTCGACGTACTCCTGTGTGTGTGTGTGAGGCTATAAAAGGATACACGCACAGAGGTGAAAACAATCATTCTAAGACTCAGTATTGTAGAAATCTTTTCTAAAAATATTTTGGTGTTGACAGTGCTGTTTGTCCTCATATGTGCCTGCCTCTTGGAGTGTCCTCTCTTCAAGTAGAGCAAAGCCATCTGTCTGTCTTACTTTCATGTAGGTGAGAGTAGAAGAGAGAGGCACAGACTTCTTGGAAATCTCAGTGTTCAGGCCAACCCATTGCTGAGCAATGGATGGTGTTATTGCTGTGGCAGCATGTGCTATGAAATTTTTAGAAGAAATTCTGCTTATGTGCACCTCATTACTCTGCTTCCCTTCTCCCTAAGTGCTGTGACTGCTGGACCGCCAGCCCGCCAGCCCTCCAACCCTCCAGTCTACCAGCCCTCCACAGGTCCAGCCCTCCAACCCTCCAGCCTGCCAGCCCTCCACAGGCCCAGCCCTCCACAGGTCCAGCCCTCCAACCCTCTACAGGTCCAACCCTCCAACCCTCCAGCCC